TATTGGGGGAAACAGGGCCAATTGCATATGTGGGTTGCTTCTCTTGCAAGGCTGAAAGGGTGTTTGATTCAAGTTCTTGTATTGTATTACACAAAATAAAATCTGCCCTCTGCACTTCATGGAATGCCTTGTGCAGGGCTCGGTGCATCGGTGTTGATATGTCAGCTTCTTGGAGGTGTGACATCAAGTCCTTTGGTTCAATAGCCTGCACCCCCGGTATGTAATCGATGGTGTCCTCTCGATTATCTAATACATCAACCAAAAAAATTGAGATTAGTAATAGGATGTTTTCTCTTGTCAGAATGTCAATATGAAGTATTGATCAGTGAATTCTTTTAAAACTTGTGATCCTAATTGACAATCTAGCAACATAACATGTAAGACTTGAGAACAAGACCGTAATGTAATCAAAGCTCAAGCGAATTTATGCGAAAGTTATTACAAACCATGTGAACCATAATGACCACGTTCTCTGAGGAGGTCCAAGTGATAGTAGATGCTTAAGACTAGAGCTGGTTCAGTCCAGAAGGAAATATTGACAAGGTTGTATTGTTGGCTATGGTTGCTGACCATGGGTGGAAGGTATCAGCAATCAAGCAAGTGACTGAAGGGTCAGATTGGACTAAATTTCCAACGAGTTCATCAACATGGGCAGGGAAGACATGCAATAGGCCCTCAACAGCTTGGTTATGGTTCTGAAATCGGTTGAAGGCTAGTGGAAAACCATCAATCACGGTCTTGTAGCGTATGTCTAGGCTGGACTTGCGCGCTGTGGCAAAGATGTCATCTTGATCTTCAGTGTCATTGGGTTGGGATTTGGTTATCTGGTGGTGAATGTGTTGGGTGTTGACAAAAGTGATGGTGAAACCGTGTGAAGCAAGCTTCGTGGCCAGATGGGTATGTGGGAGAAGATGCCCTTGGAGAGGCATAGGCACCATGATAGCATGAGGCTGTGAATGCTTGTCCTCCATGGCTCTCTCTCTTTGTGCATCTCTCTATGTCTGCGAGTATGTGGTCTTTTATCGGAGAAAGAGGGCAAGTGCTGAAATTACAAAAGCTAATGGACTGATAAAAGCGAAAGCACATCTTTTGCAATGTGTGGTCTGTATGTGTGGTCAGATGAGGTGAACTGCTTTTAGCACATGGCGTGGGGCTAATGTTCCAATTTCCCACAAACTATTTTTAGAATTTAAACAAACAGTATCTTCTTTCATCAGAGACTGGAACACAGCTCAATAATATTGATTTAAAACATGATAATAGATCTTCAGATATGCCACATTCTTGTGTATTTTGGATTTCACATTGCTAATGAAGCGTTTTATGCTAATGATGATTTAATGACAATGAGATGATGAAGCAGAACCACAAGATTGTAGCAATGCGGAAGTCAGTTTCGTGTCTGAACTTTGGTCTTCACATCACTTAGGAATTGAAAGAAATTCTTCTGTGATGACCCATTTAAAGTCAATGCATCCTCCATTGTTTGCCTCACATTTTTTATCTCCTTCTGCAAACCATGGCCCAATTTTCCACTCATCACATGGTTGATCTTCTCTGCCACCTCCACTCTTGTGATAGGTTTTACCCCATCACAAATATTCAGTCCAATGCCCCAATCATCAACTACTAGTTTCCTATTAGTGATTTGGTCAGTCCATAGAGGAAAACACAGCATGGGAACACCACACCACATACTTTCAAGTACGGAATTCCATCCACAATGCGTTAAGAACCCTCCTACTGCTGGATGTGAAAGCACCTTAATCTGAGAGCACCATGGCACTATCATCCCTCTGTCTTTAATCTCATCGTCAAATCCAACGGGTAGGATATTGGTTTCTTCATAACTTGTAGTATCAGGGCGAAGTACCCAGATGAAGCTCACTTTACTAAGCAAAAGTCCATGAGCTATTTCCTCAAAATCTTTTGTAGTAACTTGAACATAACTACCAAATGAAATAAACAAAACTGAACCATGAGGCTTGGATTTGAGCCATTGAGTACAGTCAAACTCAGACATCAGATTGGTAGCCACAATACTCTTAGTGGGTTCACTGGGGAAGACAGGGCCAATTGCATATGTGGCCTGCTTCTCGTGCAAGGCTGATAGGGTCTCAGATTCAAGTTCTTGCACTGTATTAATCAAAATAAAATCTGCTCTTTTAACTTCATGGAATGCCTTGCATATGGTTCTGAGCATTGGGGATGATAAATCAGTAGCTTGGAGATGTGACATCAAGTCTTTTGGTTCAATTGCCTGCACACCCGGTATGTAATCGATGCTGTCCTCACGTTTATCTAATAAGTCAACCAAAAAAACACAGATACATGTAGTTATATAACTTTGCTAATGTTCATGTCATCATGCTGTGAATCTAGTAGACTAAACATTCGAACAAGACACCACGCGATCTGATGGTTTAAACTTTAGATTGACAATATGAGAATGAGATTTCATGTTGTCAAATTAACTAGAAACCATTCCATATGTAAGTTAAGCAAAAGTTTGGGAGATTTGTGAGAGGGTGCATACCATGAAAACCAAAATGACTATTTTGTCTGAGGAGGTCCAAGTGATAGTAGATGCTTAGGACTAAAGCTGGTTGAGTCCAAAAGGAAACATTGACAAGGTTGTACTTGTTGGCTATGGTTTCTGGCCAGGTGTGGAAGGTATCAGCAATAAAGCAAGTGATTGAGGGGTCAGATTGGACTAAATCTCCAACCAGTTCATCAACATGGGCAGGGTAGACATGTAAATGACCCTCAAGAAATTGGTCAAGGTTCTGAAAGAGAAGATCAGCTGTCTGATGAGTGCTGATGAATTGAGGAGGAATGTCAAGGAGGTCAGAAAAGCATTGGAGGGTGCATCGGCTATTGGTGGGTCATCATACAGAAATCTTGATCAATTCATAGATGGTGTGAAGACTAAAGTCCAAGAGAAAACTGGGTTTGGCTTCAAGAACACTGAAGTTTCCTAGTTTTTCGAAAATTCCAAATACTATATTTTGTGGGTTGGATTTGATCAAATTAAAAAAAATGGTAATTAAGAACATTGTGTCCAGGTTTTTGTGAAGAAAGTAGTTCTGGTTTGTTTTATCGATAAATTATGGCCTAAATAGGGAAGCACTAAATGGTACCCTATAACCAATAGTAACGCCAAACTAGGACACTGATACAACAATGGTGGCTGCATAGTCTCTATTGCTAGTGGAGACAAATAATTGTCTCCAAAATCAACTTAGGGGACAAATCAAAATTAGTAGGTAGTGTGAGTTTTTTTTAGTGATCTTGTTCAGTTTTGTTGTTGGGTTGGGATTTGGTTATCTGGTGGTGAATATATTGAGTGTTGACAAAAGTGATGGTGAAACCATTCTGTATCTGTTTGAGGAAGTAGGCAAGTTCTGAATCACAAAAATCTGATACCCGGCCAGATGACTCCCATTCAGTCAAGTCAACTATTCAGTCAAGCTCCTTTATGTATTATCTTTCTATATGGAAATAAGACAAGTTGCTCCATAATTTGTTGTAACCTCTGGTTTGCTCCATAATTCAACAAGTTGCCTCACCTCCCCTCCTTTTATTCTCTTTTTTGAATAAACAATTCAGTGAGAGATAAACTTAGACCGCTCTTTCACAAGGTTCACTAACCACCAAGGCAACTACAAAAAGAACCCAACAAAGACTTCATATATATATATATATCCATTAAACTCCCTCATCACACATGGAACCCATCAAGATAACCCTTATCATATGCCATTTACGTGCTAATTTGAAACACAATTTCTTTTTAAGTTATAAATTTTTTACACCTATAAATTGAAACACAATTTCTTTTCAAGTTCATGTGGTTGTTTCCATCTCTCTAAAACTAAAGTGACGATGTTGAGGAAGTCATATTCGCATCTTTTGTAATTTTCCAATATCGGATTGGTTGGTAGGCAGTACAATCATGTCTTTGGGAGGAGGATTTTCATGCAAATGAGATATCACTTTTTGCTATCCATGTGTCATCGTGTTTTTGACTAAGAATAGCAAAATAGTGATATCCCCATTACAAGTAAATTTTTCTGCTTTGGTGGGGTTTATTGGTGGAGTGACATGCCTTGAATTGTCAACCATCCCCAATAGAATCATCCATCCAATGAATTAAAAAGGGTTAATTAGTATAATTAGATCAAAGACGTCACACAATTAGCTTAATTAGTATAATCAGCCACTTATATATATAATTGATCAGGTAGCCAATGATATCCTCTTTACACATTAAATTATTCAAATTTGACATCACACATCTGTAATTAGGCCAAAGTAAGTGATTTTAATCCGTGTAGTTTGATTGAAATTTCACTCTAATCTATTTAGTTTCAAATTTCAATTGTCGTGAATTAACTGATGTAGTTTACTAAATCATTTCAATTCAAAACTGAATTCAAGAACAATGACTTATCTGGTCAATTATTTCGACATAATTACCAGGCATCACTTTTCCATTGCAAAAGGGAGGGACTTGAATTGCACCAAAATCATACTTTGGCAATCTCATTGATGAAGTTAAGGGGTGATTCACTTTGTTTCAGAAGATTTCTATCTCTTATATTCCGAGATGTTGTATTATTGTAGCTCACAAACTTGCTGCTCATGCTATTAAATATTAGGATGTTATAATATGGGATGAAGACGTCCTCCTCGGTTGGAATTTTCTGCAGTGGATGAACCCCCTTGAATTTACTCAATGAAAATATTATCCTATTTATATAGCTAAGCTTTATCTAGTTATCACCCCGAAAAAAAATAATTCATACTTTGGCCTAATAAGTTTCCTTTTATATAGCTAAGCTTTGTCTGGTTATATCATTTATGGGTCCTTCCTTGTCATCACTGTGACTATTCTTAGCTTTATAGGGATCTGGTTGAGCTGTATAGGGACAATTCAAGCACATCACCTCACCTAGGCTGTATAGGGATCTGGTTGAGCTTAGCTAATCTTGATGCCTCATGCCCTGCTCTGAGCTCCAAAGTGTTTGGGAAAAATCCTTTTTCTTTCTTCTTTTTCTTTTCTTTTCATTTCTTCTTTCTTTGAACCTTCACCCAAGTTTGAGCTGCAGATATCTTGCACTTACAGGTCATCTCTCTCTCTTTCTCTCGCTCCCTCACTCACACCCACAGATGGAAAACAATACTTCAAAACATCCTCATGCTGTCCTGTTTGCCTACCCTCTGCAAGGCCATGTAATCCCAGCCGTCCATCTTGCCATAAAGCTTGCATCAAAGGGCATCACAGTCACCTTTGTCAACACTGAAGCAGTTCACCATCAGATAGTCAAGTCCCACGCCATGGAAGATGATAATATTTTCAATGGGGTTCGTCAATCTGGCCTAGACATACGTTATGTAACAATCAACGATGGCTTCCCGGTGGAATTCGATCGATCTCTCAACCACGACCAGTTTTGGGAGAGTGTTATACATGATTTCCCAGCTCATGTTGATGAGCTTCTGGCAAAATTAGTCCTCTCCAACCCACCGGTCAATTGCTTGATATCAGATACTTTCTTTGAGTGGCCAACAATCATAGCCAACAAGTATAACCTAGTCACTGTCTCATTCTGGACCGAACCAGCTCTGGTCTTCAACCTCTACTATCACCTAGACCTACTCAACAAAAATGGTCATGGTCATTTTACTTCACATGGTAAGAACCCTTTTCTCCGAGTAACTCTCTCATACATAACTATCTCTTATATCCGACAATACAATAATACTAGCTAATCATCATTGTTAATATGGATCACTAATTACAATATTGTGGTCCAGATTGACAGTATATCAACATAACATATCAAATATGTAGCATGACAACCTTATTTTGTATTCATATATAGTTTGTGTGTGTAATATTAGATAATCCTCGCCAAGACACGATCAATTACATACCGGGTGTACGCGCGATTGAACCAAAGGACTTGTCATCGTACCTTCAACCTAGTGATTACACTTCACCCATACACCGGATCATAGTCAATGCCTTTGAGAGAATTAAAAAACAAGATTTCATTCTTTGTAACACAGTCCAAGAGCTTGAATCTGAGACCGTTTCAGCCTTGCAAGAAAAGCAACAAATATATTCAATTGGACCAATATTCCCCACCGGGTTCACCAAGAGCCGTGTGGCCACAAGCCTGTGGTCCGAGTCAGATTGCATCCAATGGCTCAACACTAGGCCACGTGGCTCAGTTTTGTACGTTTCATTTGGTAGCTATGCTCATGCTAGCAAAAGAGAGATTGAGGAAATAGCCAATGGGCTTTTGCTCAGCAAAGTTGGTTTTATTTGGGTACTTCGTCCTGATATAGTCAGCTCTGATGAACCCGAAATCCTACCCGTAGGATTTGAAGATGAGATCAAAGATCAAGATCAAGGTTTGATTGTGCCATGGTGCTCTCAGATTGAGGTGATCTCACACCCTTCAATTGGAGGCTTCATAACACATTGTGGATGGAATTCAATACTGGAAAGCATATGGTGCAATCTTCCCTTGTTGTGTTTTCCTTTGTTGACTGACCAATTCACTAATAGGAAATTAGTGGTGGATGATTGGAGGGTTGGGCTTAATCTTTTTGACCAAAAACCAATCACAAAGGAGGAAGTGGCAGAGAAGATCAGCCGTCTGATGAGTGCTGATGAATTGAGGAGGAATGTCAAGGAGGTCAGAAAAGCATTGGAGGGTGCATTGGCTATTGGTGGGTCATCATACAGAAATCTTGATCAATTCATAGATGGTGTGAAGACTAAAGTCCAAGAGAAAACTGGGTTTGGCTTCAAGAACACTGAAGTTTCCTAGTTTTTCGAAAATTCCAAATACTATATTTTGTGGGTTGGATTTGATCAAATTATAAAAAATGGTAAGAACATTGTGTCCAGGTTTTTGTGAAGAAAGTAGTTCTGGTTTGTTTTATCGATAAATTATGGCCTAAATAGGGAAGGACTGACTCACTAAATGGTACCCTATAACCAAAAGCAACGCCAAACTAGGACACTGATACAACAATGGTGGCTGCATAGTCTCTATTGCTAGTGGACACAAATAATTGTCTCCAAAATCAACTTAGGGGACAAATCAAAATTGGTAGGTAGTGTGAGTTTTTTTTAGTGATCTTGTTCAGTTTTGTTGTTGGGTTGGGATTTGGTTATCTGGTGGTGAATATATTGAGTGTTGACACAAGTGATGGTGAAACCATTCTGTATCTGTTTGAGGAAGTAGGCAAGTTCTGAATCACAAAAATCTGATACGCGGCCAGATGATTCCCATTCAGTCAAGCTCCTTTATGTATTATCTTTCTATATGGAAATAAGACAAGTTGCTCCATAATTTCTTGTAACCTCTGGTTTGCTCCATAATTCAACAAGTTGCCTCACCTCCCCTCCTTTTATTCTCTTTTTTGAATAAACAATTCAGTGAGAGATAAACTTAGACCGCTCTTTCACAAGGTTCACTAACCACCAAGGCAACTACAAAAAGAACCCAACAAAGACTTCATATATATATATATATCCATTAAACTCCCTCATCACACATGGAACCCATCAAGATAACCCTTATCATATGCCATTTACGTGCTAATTTGAAACACAATTTCTTTTTAAGTTATAAATTTTTTACACCTATAAATTGAAACACAATTTCTTTTCAAGTTCATGTGGTTGTTTCCATCTCTCTAAAACTAAAGTGACGATGTTGAGGAAGTCATATTCACATCTTTTGTAATTTTCCAATATCGGATTGGTTGGTAGGCAGTACAATCATGTCTTTGGGAGGAGGATTTTCATGCAAATGAGATATCACTTTTTGCTATCCATGTGTCATCGTGTTTTTGACTAAGAATAGCAAAATAGTGATATCCCCATTACAAGTAAATTTTTCTGCAAACTTAGACCGCTCTTTCACAAGGTTCACTAACCACCAAGGCAACTACAAAAAGAACCCAACAAAGACTTCATATATATATCCATTAAACTCCCTCATCACACATGGAACCCATCAAGATAACCCTTGTCATATGCCATTTACGTACTAATTTGAAACACAATTTCTTTTCAAGTTCATGTGGTTGTTTCCATCTCTCTAAAACTAAAGTGACGATGTTGAGGAAGTCATATTCACATCTTTTGTAATTTTCCAATATCGGATTGGTTGGTAGGCAGTACAATCATGTCTTTGGGAGGAGGATTTTCATGCAAATGAGATATCACTTTTTGCTATCCATGTGTCATCGTGTTTTTGACTAAGAATAGCAAAATAGTGATATCCCCATTACAAGTAAATTTTTCTGCTTTGGTGGGGTTTATTGGTGGAGTGACATGCCTTGAATTGTCAACCATCCCCAATAGAATCATCCATCCAATGAATTAAAAAGGGTTAATTAGTATAATTAGATCAAAGACGTCACACAATTAGCTTAATTAGTATAATCAGCCACTTATATATATAATTGATCAGGTAGCCAATGATATCCTCTTTACACATTAAATTATTCAAATTTGACATCACACATCTGTAAATAGGCCAAAGTATGTGATTTTAATCCGTGTAGTTTGATTGAAATTTCACTCTAATCTATTTAGTTTCAAATTTCAATTGTCGTGAATTAACTGATGTAGTTTACTAAATCATTTCAATTCAAAACTGAATTCAAGAACAATGACTTATCTGGTCAATTATTTCGACATAATTACCAGGCATCACTTTTCCATTGCAAAAGGGAGGGACTTGAATTGCACCAAAATCATACTTTGGCAATCTCATTGATGAAGTTAAGGGGTGATTCACTTTGTTTCAGAAGATTTCTATCTCTTATATTCCAATATGTTGTAATATTGTAGCACATAAACTTGCTGCTCATGCTATTAAATATTAGGATGTTGTAATAAGGGATGAAGACGTCCTCCTTGGTTGGAATTTTCTGCAGTGGACGAACCCCCTTGAATTTACTCAATGAAAATATTATCCTATTTATATAGCTAAGCTTTATCTAGTTATCACCCCGAAAAAAAATAATTCATACTTTGGCCTAATAAGTTTCCTTTTATATAGCTAAGCTTTGTCTGGTTATATCATTTATGGGTCCTTCCTTGTCATCACTGTGACTATTCTTAGCTTTATAGGGATCTGGTTGAGCTGTATAGGGACAATTCAAGCACATCACCTCACCTAAGCTGTATAGGGATCTGGTTGAGCTTAGCTAATCTTGATGCCTCATGCCCTGCTCTGAGCTCCAAAGTGTTTGAGAAAAATCATTTTTCTCTCTTCTTTTTCTTTTCTTTTCTTTTTTCTTTGAACCTTCTCCCAAGTTTGAGCTGCAGCTATCTTGCACTTATAGGTCATCTATTTTTCTCTCGCTCTCTCACTCACACCCACACCCACAGATGGAAAACAATGCTTCAAAACATCCTCATGCTGTCCTGTTTCCCTACCCTCTGCAAGGCCATGTAATCCCAGCTGTCCATCTTGCCATAAAGCTTGCATCAAAGGGCATCACAGTCACCTTTGTCAACACTGAAGCAGTTCACCATCAGATAGTCAAGTCCCACGCCATGGAAGATGATAATATTTTCAATGGGGTTCGTCAATCTGGCCTAGACATACGTTATGTAACAATCAACGATGGCTTCCCGGTGGAATTCGATCGATCTCTCAACCACGACCAGTTTTGGGAGAGTGTTATACATGATTTCCCAGCTCATGTTGATGAGCTTCTAGCAAAACTAGTCCTCTCCAACCCACCAGTCAATTGTTTGATATCAGATACTTTCTTTGTGTGGCCAACAATCATAGCCAAAAAGTATAACCTAGTCACCGTCTCATTCTGGACTGAACCAGCTCTGGTCTTCACCCTCTACTATCACCTAGACCTCCTCAACAAAAATGGTCATGGTCATTTTACTTCTCATGGTAAGTACCCTTTTCTCCAAGTAACTCTCTAATGCATAACTATCTCTTATATCCGACAATACAATAATACTAGCTAATTATCACTGTTAATATGGATCACTTATTACAGTTTTGTGGTCCAAAATCAACATAACATATCAAATATCTAGCGTGACAACATTATTTCGTATTGATGTATAGTTTGTGTGTGTAATATTAGCTAATCGTCGCCAAGACACAATCGATTACATACCGGGTGTACGTGCAATTGAACCAAAGGACTTGTCATCATACCTTCAACCTAGTGATTACACTTCACCAGTGCACCGGATCATAGTCAAGGCCTTTGAGAAAATTAAAAAACAAGATTTCATTCTTTGTAACACAGTCCAAGAGCTTGAATCTGAGACCATTTCAGCCTTGCAAGAAAGGCAACAAATATATTCAATTGGACCAATATTCCCCAATGGGTTCACCAAGAGCCGTGTGGCCACAAGCCTGTGGTCCGAGTCAGATTGCATCCAATGGCTCAACACTAGGCCACATGGCTCAGTTTTGTACGTTTCATTTGGTAGCTATGCTCATGCTAGCAAAAGAGAGATTGAGGAAATAGCCAATGGGCTTTTGCTCAGCAAAGTTGGTTTTATTTGGGTACTTCGTCCTGATATAGTCAGCTCTGATGAACCCGAAATCCTACCCGTAGGATTTGAAGATGAGATCAAAGATCAAGATCAAGGGTTGATTGTGCCATGGTGCTCTCAGATTGAGGTGATCTCACACCCTTCAATTGGAGGCTTCATAACACATTGTGGATGGAATTCAATATTGGAAAGCATATGGTGCAATCTTCCCTTGTTGTGTTTTCCTTTGTTGACTGACCAATTCACTAATAGGAAATTAGTGGTGGATGATTGGAGGGTTGGGCTTAATCTTTGTGACCAAAAACCAATCACAAAGGAGGAAGTGGCAGAGAAGATCAGCCGTCTGATGAGTGCTGATGAATTGAGGAGGAATGTCAAGGAGGTCAGAAAAGCATTGGAGGGTGCATTGGCTATTGGTGGGTCATCATACAGAAATCTTGATCAATTCATAGATGGTGTGAAGACTAAAGTCCAAGAGAAAACTGGGTTTGGCTTCAAGAACACTGAAGTTTCCTAGTTTTTCGAAAATTCCAAATACTATATTTTGTGGGTTGGATTTGATCAAATTATAAAAAATGGTAAGAACATGGTGTCTAGGTTTTTGTGAAGAAAGTAGTTTTGGTGTTTTATCGATAAATTATGGCGTATTGTGCACTCGGTGTGTCGTTTTGTGGTTGCCTTCCGTCACATTTCCATTCTAATATTGAAACACTTTTAATATTTACTATAAGTGGGGTAACATTTGGTCGTATTAGGCTTAGTTTTTCAAATACAATAATACTATAGGTGAGGGAGTCAAATACAACACCTCACCTCAGATGAATAAATAATTTAAGTTACCAACTATTTACTCTCTTTAATACGATGGTAATTAGTTAGATTACTTTTACAATTTTAGAATCGATTGGGTTGATATAAATTGAACCAAAACACATTACTAACTACCAACTCTTACAAATTGTAGTTGTTAGTTAAGCATTCGTCCACATCGACGGCTGTGATTGTATTTAATACAACAAGATGATGAGAAGTCGGCCATATTTACGAGGTGTCGTCAGCACCTGGGTCACTGAACGCCCTGTCGTTTCTGATGTGAAACTAAAAAGCCCAATAACTTCACCGCCTAAATAAAACAAAGAAAAACCCAATAAAACAACCAGCCTGTAATTCTAGAAGGAAAATAGTATGAGCCCAATTTGGTTGGACTAAGGTTTTGTTTAGTCGGAGTCCACCTTAAGACTCAGATGAAAACAAGAACTTGGAATAGAAGATTCTAGAAATTTTAAAAATATGCCCATTAATTTTTAAGTATTAAGATTTATTAGTTATCTTTAAGGTAATGACTAATCCAAAAAAGAGAATAATTAGAGTTTCTCTCTATATCCTCTTGATTGATTTCTCCTCATCCACATGTATTTTTGTCCTCTAATTATGTTGTGGGTATTCATGGTAAAATACTTATATTTATTCTTGTTGTATGTTTATTTTTCATATACAAAAAAACCAATTATGTTCACGCACATATGTGTGCTCGTCGTGCTGTATCCGAATTTGAGCTCCTCCTCAATATTAGAGTAGTTAGAATATCATATACATTAGAGTAGTTAGAATATCATTTTGTAAAAACGAAAACATGAACAAAAACTATGCGAAAAACCCCTTCATATTGTATAATGATTCATGATATGCAAGTGCATATTAGAACTTCTCTATAAAGAATTGAATATCCCACTTTTAAAAATCCATTTTATAATTGACCTTGCAATTAAATCTTGAAAATGTAAAAGTAATATAAGAACCTTGAAATTGTAATTTCCGATTAAAAATTGCAAAAGAAATAAATTCCTAGCAAAAAAATTAAAGGGAAATGAAAATATTTGTAGGTATACAAAAAGAAATAGAATTTCCATTCCAAAAATAACAACGAGAGAAAAATAGAAAGAAAGTAGAAGCCAGAGTTTGTATAATATTCCTGAACTAAAAAGGAAGTAAACCAAAACCAAAACATTTCTTTCCTAACAAGAAAAGGAGTTACCTTCGCTTATAAATATCCCAACCCCCCATCTCTCACCAAATTGCTTTTAGCTACTCTTCTGCTCTCTCTCTCTTCGAACTCTTCAATCGACAAAACAATCTGAGACTCTCTCTCTTCGTCTTCTTGGGTCTTCTCTGCTCCATCTTTACGATGACTGACAAGGCTGAATCTTCAGACTCGTAAGTACCCAGATCCCTGTTTAATTCAACTGGGTTCTACTCTGTGCTTCGATTGAATTTAAGTTATTTTCTTCTGGGATTTTCTGGGTTTTGATGCGATTCTGCTTTGCTTCTTTGTTTGTTGCAGTAAGGGAACGAAAAGGGACTTCAGCACGGCGATCCTTGAGCGCAAGAAGGCTGCGAATCGGCTTGTTGTGGATGATGCTATCAACGATGACAACTCGGTCGTCGCGCTCCATCCAGATACCATGGAGAAGCTTCAGCTCTTTCGTGGTGACACAATCTTGATCAAGGTTCGATTTTTACATCATGTTATATATATGCGAAAGATGAAATCTTGATAGAATTTTGCTTACAAGGATTTTCTAGTTAGGGCTAATAGGAATTACGGTTTTGGGTAGTGAGTGAATGTTGTAATTGTATCTGGGTTGGTAGGTTTTCTGTATTTTATTTGGGATCTGGGAACTGGGTGTGTTCTGTTGTCGGAAGTATTGGGATTCTTGTATCGAAATTCTGGGTTTTGATGGTTACTCCTTAATTTTCTACTGATGTAGACTGTACTATTAAAAACAATTTTGTTGTATTTACTTACATGTTGGAATTGGCTTTTTTACAGGGTTCCAAAATTAGGCATTTAGAGGATGTTGTGATTTAATATGGATGCCTTTCTTTCTGCCCTCTTCTTTTGAAACTGTGCATGCGATGTTGTGATTTAGTTGGCTTAGTATTGTCATTGGCTGTTCAGGTCTTGGGCTTTGGTATTAATAGCATGAACTCTCCCTAAACTTTATTGTTCTGCATGTGCTTGGGATTATAAAGATAAACGGCAACTAACTTTTCGTGTTTATATATTTTTATTGGTGTTTAGGGAAAGAAAAGGAAGGATACAATCTGCATTGCCCTTGCTGATGATACATGTGAGGAACCAAAGATAAGGATGAACAAGGTTGTCAGGAGCAACCTAAGGGTTAGGCTGGGGGATGTTGTTTCTGTTCACCAATGTGCTGATGTCAAGTATGGAAAGCGTGTCCACATTCTTCCTGTGGATGACACTATTGAAGGGGTCACTGGAAATCTGTTTGATGCATACTTGAAACGTGAGTTTCTAACCCTTGTTATTCTCAGGTGCTACTGGAGCTAAAATGTGTAGCACGTCATGAATTTAAATAAAGTTTACTTTTGTATGAAACTCTTATCTTTCCTAGTAAGCTATGTCAATATCAACATCAGTTGCAACCCCAACTCTCGAAAGTTTCTGTTCAGTAATACCTGTATGCACAGGGTACTTATAATTGCACAAATGGAGATAGTATTTTATCATATTATTACTTCATAGATGCTTGCATGCTGAGAAAATTTGATGCTTTTCCTTTAAAGAGTTGAATCAATTGATAGTGTCCAAGTTGAAGAGGATGTTACAACTCTTAATTTAATTGGCGGTGTTCAGATTTAAAAAGAGTATATAATTAGGGGAAAATGGTTTAACAATATATCCTTGTTGTGTCACACCTACCGTATATAGAGATTCAGTATGTTGTCACCATTGATTTTGGATTTATATTCGCTTCTAAGTTTCTGTTTAAAATATATTGTAGCTATTACTGGTGGTTATGAGAACTAAATGGTTTTACCAATAAGTTCTTGTTTAATTCTTTGCAGCATGCATTTTTACCAAATCTTCTTGTCTACTTTTGCAGCTTATTTCCTGGAGGCCTACCGTCCAGTGAGGAAGGGTGATCTCTTCCTTGTACGAGGAGGAATGAGGAGTGTAGAGTTTAAGGTTATTGAAACTGACCCTCCTGAGTACTGTGTGGTTGCTCCCGACACTGAAATCTTCTGTGAGGGGGAGCCTGTGAAAAGGGAGGATGAGGAGAGATTAAACGAGGTTGGCTATGATGATGTTGGTGGAGTTAGGAAACAGATGGCTCAGATTCGTGAATTAGTGGAGCTGCCATTGAGGCATCCTCAACTATTTAAATCAATCGGTGTGAAGCCACCAAAGGGTATTCTGCTGTATGGACCTCCTGGATCAGGTAAGACTCTAATTGCCCGAGCTGTGGCTAATGAAACTGGGGCATTCTTTTTCTGCATCAATGGACCTGAAATCATGTCAAAATTGGCTGGGGAGAGTGAAAGCAATCTCAGGAAAGCTTTTGAGGAAGCAGAGAAGAATGCACCATCAATTATCTTTATTGATGAAATTGATTCAATTGCTCCCAAGAGAGAGAAGACACATGGAGAAGTTGAGAGGAGGATTGTTTCCCAGCTCTTGACGCTCATGGATGGACTAAAGTCTCGTGCACATGTAATTGTTATGGGGGCTACAAATCGACCAAACAGTATTGATCCAGCTCTCAGAAGGTTTGGAAGATTTGATAGGGAAATAGATATTGGTGTACCAGATGAAGTTGGGCGTCTCGAGGTTGTCCGTATTCATACAAAGAACATGAAGCTTGCTGAAGATGTAATGTCAAATACGATCTTTTTCTTTTTCAACCTTTTTTTCCCATATTTCAAAAAGTTCTTACATAATGTTTTGGACTTTTATTGCACAGGTTGATTTGGAAAAGATAGCTAAGGACACACATGGTTATGTTGGTGCTGATCTGGCTGCTTTGTGTACTGAGGCTGCTCTTCAATGCATCAGAGAGAAGATGGATGTGATTGACTTAGAAGATGAGGAAATAGATGCTGAGATTCTGAATTCAATGGCAGTTACAAATGAGCACTTCAAGACTGCTCTTGGCACAAGCAACCCATCTGCTCTTCGTGAAACAGTAAGTATTTACATTTTGTTTCAATTGACAGTTTTGTTTTGATTATTAGACGCCTTATGTGCGTTAGAGGAAACTCATAATTTCATGTTTTTGATTGGCCAGGTAGTTGAAGTGCCCAATGTTAGCTGGGAAGATATTGGAGGTCTTGAGAATGTTAAGCGAGAACTTCAAGAGGTAATTGAGTTTACTACAATGGGTTGTTCATACAAAACTTCGTTTATCTCATTTTTCTTTGTTACTTATAATATCTATTCCTGTATTATCTTGTCATGCAGACTGTTCAGTATCCTGTTGAGCATCCTGAGAAATTTGAGAAATTTGGAATGTCGCCTTCAAAGGGAGTTCTTTTCTATGGTCCTCCTGGATGTGGTAAAACTCTTCTCGCCAAAGCTATTGCCAATGAGTGTCAAGCAAACTTCATCAGTGTCAAGGGACCTGAATTGCTAACGATGTGGTTTGGAGAGAGTGAGGCCAATGTGAGGGAAATTTTCGACAAGGCCCGTGGGTCTGCTCCATGTGTCCTGTTCTTTGATGAACTTGATTCCATTGCTACACAGGTTTGAACCACTCGTTATGTAAAATCATTTCTTGTTACTGATGCCTGGTTGCTCATTTGCATATTGCAATTAACAATAAGTGTTATTTGGAAATAGAAAAAAGCTTTGCACCATAATTTAATAATTACTAAATAGGAGAAAACTTAGCGTTCTGTTACAGAAACAACAGT